TTCCCAGGTCCTATGAAAATTGGGGGAAGGATGGAGCACTTGGCTCCAAGCCCAGATCCAGAAGAGTCTGGATGTTTCTTTCCCCTGGGGCACAGGAGAGTTCAGCTTAGTTCATGTCCGCAAACATTTGTTAAGGCCCAGCCGCAGCATGAGGGAAGACGCAGAATAGAATGATAGAATGATGTCTTGCCTGCGAGGGGCAGTCTGGGGCAAAGAGAGCTCTGAGCAGGGGTGCAGTGAGCACAGAGGCCATGCCGCAGGGGCGGAAAGGAAGAAGCAGGCGCAGTGAGGTGGGTCAGTAGCACGGGCTGGGTCAGCAGGAGATGGTTCAGACGATTGGACTGAACAGCGGCGAGCCCAGGACTGATTCAGTCACTTTTGGGGAGCAGCTCTCATGCGCGCACCATGCTGGGGTCTCTATCGGGGGCAGGAGACAGCTAAGACCTACTTGATGCTGCAAATGACTTATGCTCTGTTGGAGCCTGGGGGAGAGGGAGGCGGAGGAGGAAGTAGGTAAGCGCCACAAAGGTTCGGGGAGGAAACTGTCAAAGAGAAGTCTACTCTGACTTGAAGGGGGAGGGGGGAAGGGCAATATACATATCCTTAACATTTGTACCCCCATAATATGCTAAAATTAAAAAAATGGAAAAAAAGAGAAGTCTAAAGCAACATTCCCCACTGGAGCCCGCAGCAGGAGCACCGTCTGGTTGGGATGGAGAAGGCTTGCTGGAGAAGGCACATTTGAGATGTCCCCTTGCAGGAGGGAACATTTCTATCTGGAGGAATGGAGATGAGGGTGGGGAGAGGGCTGCAGGCAAGGAGAAGCTGAGCGACTACTCGAGCAGGGCTACCTGGTGCATCCAGGCAGAGCAGGCCACAGTGTGTGCTGTAGACTTTGTGGGGGGGGGCTGGGAGGCAGGCCCAGGTGTGCAAGGTCAGAAAGCCAGGAGGAAGGGGTTACACTTCTTTGGGGCAGTGGTTCTCAAGCAAAGGAAGGCCTGCGTCACATCTGCTCTGGAGCAAGGATGTGGGAAGTGGTGAGGAAGCTGCCGGGGTGGCCCAAGTAGGTAGACCAAGTGAGCCCCATGTGAGACATTCTGGTAGGAAGTTCAAGGACAACTGCAAAAGGTACTGGGGGTGGGGAGCCACAGGGGCTACAGGAGGCTAACAAATGCAGAGAACAGGACGAGGACCCAGGGACAAAGGCAAGGTGGCCAGGGCGGGTGGCGTGTGGGCCAAGGCATTGTTAGGCCAGTAAGGAAGTCAAGGAGAGCTGCTCTGGGCAAAGTGGGAGAGACGATGGCTTTGCAGAGGCAGACAGGGCCCATGGGCTGCTGGGAGTCCAGGTGCAGGATCAAGGCTAGGAATCGTGCTTGCAGGGTCACTCACATAATCGTCACTGTCATCACCAAGTAGCTTACCACTTAGTGAGCACCTGCTGTGCCAGGTGCCACGTGAAATAATCCAATCCTCACAGTAAGACAGAGTCAACAGGGTGAGTCTCACTTAACGGATAGGAAAACTGAGAGCCAGAGATGGTACAGAGATGGCCAGAGATGGCCAGAGATGTCTGAGGCCAACCAGCAGAGAAGGAGCAGATCAGGGTCTGGCATCTCCCTTGGACAATGCTTGCTTCTCAGTCGTCACAGTGGCATGAAGGTAGGGTGGTGGACAAGGTCTCCAAGGGGAGGCAGGCAGGGCTGAGAAGGTATTAGCCTGGGGACATGTGCACAGTCTCACAAGGCTCTGCCTGACACGGTTCCCTCTTACTTAGTTGTTAATTATCACCCGTCAGGGGTTGCTCCAATGACTTCCAACATAGAAGTCATAGGGAAAAATTGCAATGTGTGTGGAGACTAGAAGGCCACACGTGTGTGGCTTGTGACTAGCATGCGTAGGGATTTTGTGGCCAGAACATAGGATTAAGGAGCTCTAGGGAGACAGGAAAAGCAAGGTAGATGGGTCATGAGTGCTGGGGAGAGTTGCAAGGTGGTTGAGGGCTGCAGAAAGGAGGAGGAGGGTGGCTGGGGTTGGGTGTGGGACTGAGTTCAGAGCAGGGCTTTGCTGGCCTTCCTGAGACCTCGGGTGAGCCAGCAGGAGGAGGGGCCTCCCAGGGTCATCTCAGCCAGTCTTCTGCCTCTAAGTGGGACGACGCATGCCAGGGGGATGAGCCCTTTACCATTTTGGAAGCACTCAGACAATGGATTTCATATCCTCCCTCTGCTGCCAACAGCATCTCACAACCTGAAAGAATGTTCTTGGGTGGGGTCCCTTGGAAGTACGAACAGGCCAAGTGGGAAAGAGATGTGCAGCCCATGCCTCCTGGCAGCCTCTCGCACGCGTGAGGGAGGTGAAAGGCGGACACATTGAGAGAAAGGAGGCAGTGAAGCAATCAGTTCTTCACTCTCTGAGCTGCCCTGGGGAAGGACACTGTGCCTACGCCAAGGCCAAATCTCCATTTTAGACCTCAGTGAACATGCCAGAACCCAGCAAGGAGAATGAGCCAAGCTACCACCGTGTCTTCCTTCCAGCATGACTTCTGTAGGAACAGAATGTGTCCAAGGAAGACATCTGCATTCCTTATGGAGATGTGTGGTCATACCTGGACCAGGTAGGCAGTGTCCACTTGGTATGGTAGGCAGAATTCTACAGTGGCCCAAACAATTCTTACCCCCAGTACGCATGTCCTGTATGAGCCCCTTCCCCCAAGTATGAGTGGGACTAGTGACTATGATGGGTTATCACTCCCATGATTAGGTTGCCGATCAGCTGATTTTGAATTAATCAAAAGGAAGAGCATCCTGGGTGGATCTGGCCTAATCAGGTGAGCCCTTTAAAAGAAGGTGAAGCCCCAGAGTGGCCCTCTCCTGTTGGCCGTGAGGGAGCACAGTACCATGTTGTGGGAGGATCACACGGCAGGGAACAGCAGGCAGCCTCTAGTAACTGAGGGCCTCAGTCCAACAATCACCAGGAACCGAATTCTGCCAAAGTGAGCTTGAAAGAGGACCCTGAGCATCAGTGGAGATCGCAGCCCCAGCTGATGCCTTGATCTTAGCCTGGTGAGAGCCCGAGCAAGGACCCAGGTGAGCTGTGCCCACACTGAGTCATAGACCTAGGAGAAAATAAACTGGGGTTTTACGCTGCTGAGTGTGTGGTAGTTTGTTAGGCAGCAATAGCTCATGAATACACATGGTATGGTTTTTAAGAGCACCTTGAAAGCCCTACATAGGAGAATTGTGACATCTTTCTTCACTGGGGGAGCTTTCTTCTCCTGCTTAGGGCCTTGTACCTTGTAAAATGCAAATGCGTCTGGGAGAAGTCACGTGACTGGCCACCCACACCTTAATCTGCATGTCTCCTGCTACTTCTGCAGAGCAGGGGTAGATGGGGAGCTGATGCCCTGGGTTGGGGTCGGAAGGGCACTGAATGGCATGGCCAGGAGAGCTGAAGACAAGCACTGAGAATGCTCCGTTGTTCCTGGGATTGTCCCTGGGGATTGGAGCTCTATCTACAAGGTCTCCTGGGCTAAGAGGGTGCTGCTGCTTGTTGGGTTGGAGGTCACCCCTTGTACCCAGTCGGGAGGGAGGAGAGGACATTGCCAGGCTCGAGGGAGATAGTCATTCCAGCTGCAACCTCTGCTGGATCAAGTGGACCACAAAGCAAGTTGAAGTGCTGAATTGAAGGGTGAAATGTGGCCTTTCTACCTGTCCCTCTCCACACCACGATCCCTGGAGAACACGGAGTGAGGGTGCCGTTGTTGCCTTTGTTGTTCATCTCAGCCATCTGTCTGGTTCTAGTTCAGGAAGGACACAAAGCACAAGCCGAGAGTACTGTGGTGAGTGGATGTGACTTCAAGGCCAGGGACACTTTCTCACTCCCCAGACTTCTCTGAGAGCTCATCAGAGTCTACAATGCCACCAATTAAGCCCACCCCTTAACATAGGCCTTGTCCTTTATTTAAATGCAGAAACCTCCAAGGACATGGTTAAGTGTGACTGGTCACTCACACCTTCCTAGTCCTTTCTTGAGAGGTTTTGATGCTGAGAAAAAGTGAGAGCACAGCAACCTAAGAGGAGCGAGACAACGGACAGGAGAGAGCTGAGAAGACGTGGGCACCCAGCACACGTGCTGGTCCCCTGTCAGAAGGCTCCTGGGATCACATCTGCCCAGGTGATGTCCCATCCCCCATCAGCCCAGCCCACCAGGCCCTGCTCAGGTTGGGCAGCTCCCACTGTGAGAACAGAGGTGACTCCAACTGTGGGACTCTTGGTCACGGTGGCCTGGAAGGGCGCCCACTCTTGAGGCATCTATCCACCTTTTTACCAAAATCACAGTTACTGAGCACCTACCCTGTGCCGGCTCCCAGCCTGGGTGCTGGGAACACAGAGACGGTCAACCCCAGTGATGTTCCCAAGGAAAGAGAAATGCCCCAGTGCCGTCACAGGAATGCTGAGAGGTGGAACGGGTAAGCAGGAGAGGCAGCACTTTTTTTTAAGCATTTCTGTTTAATTTTTCATTGTTCATTATTTTTAAATGTGCACAGAAGTAGGAACAATAGTGTAATAAACTCCCCTCTAGCCATCGCCAAGCTCTAATCACGATTATAAATTTTTTCATTAATATTAACATGTGTCATCTAACCCTTCCACATTCTTTGACAGTATTGTAATGTAAATTCAATATATCGCGCATTTCACCCATAGGCCCTTCCATGCGCTTCTCTGACATGAGCACTTCTTAGCACCACAGCGGTGACAGCTGACTCCCAGCAGCCGCCCCGCGCCCTTGGGACATTACCGCCAGAATGGAGCCCTCCGCCCTACACCTCTAGGGGTCTGGCCAAGCACCTGCCATCTTGAGCTGTGACACACCAGGAGTTTTCAGACTCCAGCCGCCAGCGGCCTCCACCTGCGCATTCCCGGCAGGCCGCGTGTGCCCGGTGCCCCCGCCACGTCGCCCCTTCCTCGGCTAAGCCCTTCCCGTCTCTGTCCTTGTTGCAGGTTGAAATGCTAGAACACAAGTATGGGGGTCACCTCGTGTCCCGCCGCGCCGCTTGCACCATCCAAACCGCTTTCCGCCAGTACCAGCTCAGCAAGAACTTCGAGAAGATCCGCAACTCGCTTCTGGAGAGCCGCCTGCCACGGCGGATCTCCCTGCGGAAGGCGCGGGAGCCCACCGAGGGCCCGGCGGCCGAGCAGGCGCTGCTGGAGGGCTACGGCCTGGCGGGGCTGCCGCTGGTGCGCGCGCCCACCCTGCCGCCCGGCCTGGCGGGCGCGCTCACCGAGCTGGAGGACTCCTTCTCCGAGCAGGTGCAGTCCCTGGCCAAGTCCATCGACGACGCCCTCAGCACCTGGAGCCTCAAGACCATGTGCTCCCTGCAGGAGAGCGGCGCCTACCAGCTGCGCCAGGCCCTGCAGGCAGCCGCGGGGCCGCCCGACCTGGAGGCCGAGGTGCGGGAGCCGGAGCACGCGGGCCCGGGGCCCGCGGAAGAGGCGGCTGTGGCCGCTGGCCTGCCCCAGGGCCACGGCGGCACCCTCATGATGGCCTTCCGGGACGTCACGGTGCAGATCGCCAGCCAGAACATCTCCGTCTCCTCCGCCGCCGCCCTGTCGGTGGCCAACTGCCTGAGCTCGCAGGCGGCCCCGGCGCCCGCAGAGCCCGCGGCGGGCCTGGCAGAGTGGGGCGGCGCTCCCGGGCAGGAGGCTCCGCAGGCCCCCGCCGCGGGCCCGGAGGACACACCAGCCGAGGACTCCTGGGAAGAAACAGAGGCAGAGGCCAGCCGGGCCCCGCGCACCAACCTGCTGGGCGCCGCAGAGGCGGCGGAGGAGGCCTTGGCCGCCCAGGCGGAGGAGGAAGAGGAGGGCGCAGGGAAAGGGGCCGAGGCCGAGGTGGGCAACAACTCAGAGCGGCTGAGCAACAGCACGTCCACCAAATTGGGCAAGTCGGGCTCGGAAGTGTCGGCCTCCACATCCAAGGAGGCCCTGCAGGCCATGATCCTGAGCCTGCCCCGCTACCACTGCGAGAACCCCGCCAGCTGCAGGTCGCCCACGCTCTCCACCGACACCCTGCGCAAGCGGCTCTACCGCATCGGCCTCAACCTCTTCAACATGTAAGTGAGCGCTGGCAAGATGCAGGGCCTCCTCCCACCTAGCAAGCTGCCAGGTGACTTGCCACATGACCCCGGGCTCTCCCAGGCAGCACTTGTGCCCTGCCTGACCCCTGAGATAGTGCCTAGGAAGTATATGTTTATATTTAATGATTCTGAGTTTATTTTAAGAAGGATTAAGGGAAAAAATAACACATCAAACACTTTTTTTCACAACTGTTACTGTTTAAGATGAAGCTAGGGTTTGAAAAGAGAATTTAAAAGACAAGACAGTGCTAAGTAAGTAATAGTACAGGCAGTGCAAGGAATGAGCAGAAATCATTAGGGTAGAGTATGAAGTTAGGGAAACTGCAGTATCTCATGGTGTTGGTGAAATGGGGGCCAGGGTGGCATAAGGAATACAGGGAGAAGGTAGGAGAGGGCAGGGATGCGAGAAGGAGAGGGAGATGGGAAGAGAGTGAAGCAGGCAGAGGTGGGATAGAAAAAGAACATGGGAATGGAGGGAGAGAAACAAACAATTGCCGCAGCTCTAAGACCCCGGCCAGACCAGCCCTGCAACCAGAGTGTGCGCAGAGGGCAGGCAGAGGAAGCGCAGTGCTGGCCTAGGGAGAGGCGCAGCCCGGCAGGCGCCTGCACCCTGCACTCCCTGCTCCGGCCCCTTCTAGCCCCGTCGAGAGCACAGCCTTGCTGCCCCACCTGTGTTCATCTATCTGTTCAGCTGCTCCTCACTGGGTGCCAGGCACCACAACCACAAAAACGAGTGGGACACGTTCCTGGGCTCAAGAAGTTCGTATTCCAGCGGGAGTAGCTACTATCGTGAAGGACCAGTTAGTTTTTACCCTCCAGTATATTGCAGGCTGATATTTTTGTAAAATACAATAGAAATGAGTTGCTAGAAAAACAATCACATGCCTGGTTGTCCTAGAAATGTCAAAGCGCTATAAAAGGTTCTAAATGCTACCGTCTGTTTCTGTACTTCTCTCCGCCGGGCCAATAAGAAACAGCTCAGGGAGCAGCATGGATTTGCAGAGCACACCGGGTGCAGTGGCCTTAAGACAGGGCCCCACATCCGCAGGAGGAGACTCAGGCCTGAGAAAGGGAGACTGGAGGGCGGGAGGGAGGAGGAGTGTGGTGGAAGATCCCACCTCTGTTTCCTTTTCCTTCTCTCCAGGACGGGTGATTTGGGGTGGGCACCTGGGTGCTGACAACAGGAGGGGCCTCCTTGGCAGGCCTGGGGTAAGACCCAGGAGGCAGGGGCAGAGAAGGCCTCTCTCCTCCACCTGCTCTGGGAGTCACCTTGCTTGCACCAGATGGCCCCTTGCCCGCCTCCGGGCCCGCACCGTCCTCTGCATGAGGAAGTTCAGGACGTGGAGGCTCTGCTGAGAGATACTTCCGACTGAGTAACACGCCCGTCTGGAGGGATCCTGGCATTTCCTGGGAAGTCAGTTTCTAGGGGCCTCCGGGCACATTTATGGGTTTCCTGGGCTGCAAGACAGGGAGGAAAGATGTCTTGGTGGCCCTGACTCATGCTGGTGCTTCTCCCCCCCCCCCCCAGAAACCCAGACAAGGGCATCCAGTTCCTGATCTCACGCGGCTTCATCCCGGACACCCCCATTGGTGTGGCCCATTTCCTCCTCCAGCGGAAAGGCCTCAGCCGCCAGATGATTGGAGAGTTCCTGGGCAACAGCAAGAAGCAATTCAACAGGGACGTGCTGGAGTGAGTGCCCAGCCCCTGCTCCCCCACCCCACCCCATCTGCCAGCTCTCCTGGGATCCCAACGGGACCTCTGACCTCTTGGCGATTTCCTTAGTGACATGCTCCCTCTATTCCTCACAGCTTCTTGGCTGGCCACAGGGGCCAGAACCATGGTCTTCGGCCCGTCGCCCAGTGGGACTGCACCACTGTCTGTCCTGGATACTCGCTGATGGGTGCACTCGGGGCCAGGCTCTGTCCAGGGTCCAGGGACACAGAAATGCTCAAAGGAGACAAGAGCCCTCTTTCCCTGCTACTCTCAGGGCACCCTCCAGGAAAAGATGAGGGCTGTGTCCACTGGGCTCATCTCCGCCTCTCCCCCAAGGCTCCTTCTCGTGTCCTTGGAGCCCAGACTGAGGGCTTTAGAGCAGGAAAATATATGATCCATAAAGACAGATTAACCACAAAATCACAACCACCAAAGAAAAGAGTTTAAAGGGCAGGATGGGGCCGGACAGGCTGCCCTTGCCAGTGCTGAGCCCTGAGCGTGTGGGCGGACAGTCTCTCCAGGGTGGCAGGGCACAGGGGCACGTCCCTGGGGCTGGGGCACAGGGCCTTGGAGCCCTTCTCCCTGGGAAGGGGCTGCAGCCCCAGGAGGTCCCCTCTGGCCCCTGCCTCCCCCCATGCTCCTGCTGGCTTCTGTTAGGCCCTCCAAGCTCACTTCCTTCTTGAAAGCCACCATTCTGTAGAGACCCTGCCCCATTTCTTTGCTCTCTTTCTGCTTGGTGACAGCCAGCAGAAGTGTTTCCCCAGGGGTGCTGGGAGAACCCTTCCCTTTTATACTTGCCCCTGGAGCAGCCAGGGTCCATGAGAGGGTTTGGAAGCTCAGAAGTCACCCAGCGGCCTACTGTGGCCGGTGTCCCTGGCGTGGGGCGTGGAGATTTGGCTTCTGCCTCTGGAGCAGCCTTGGTGCTGTGTGGCCATGCGGAGAAGTCCCGGCCCTCTGGGCCTGCGTTTCCAGGCCTGTGAGTGGCATGCTTGTGCACAGTGGACCAGTCGCCCTCTGGAATCCCTGTCGCACCCCTAAATCTGCTGATGTGGTGGCTGTCTGGGTGCAGTTAGAAGAGCAAGGGCTTGGACATGCCTCAGGGACTTTGAAATCCCTGGACAGCCCTGAGCTGGGCAGAAGCCAGTTCCTGCTGCTGACTCTCGGTGGCTTCGGACCATCTGTCATCCGGGAACTGGTCTGTCGAGGGCTGTGAGGAGGAAAGAGAACTGAGTAGTGGGCTGCGTCGTCTTCCTCTCACCCCTTCTTTCCCCCTTCCCTGGGTGCCTCTTCCCTTTCCCGCCAGCCCTGTTGTGCGGGGACCCTGTGGGGCTGCCCCAGAAACTGAGTCCAGGACACAGAAAGACAGAGACCACATTTCCCTCCTTTCCTTCTCCTACCTCCCCCTTCCTCCTCCTCCGTGCCTCTGTCCCTTTCTGCTCCCTCCAGGGAGAGGGGCAGTGCTGGGCCCTCGCTCCCGCTGCCCCCGCAGGCCCTGCTGTGTCTCTGCTCCTGGCAGGAGTGACTCTGCCTCGCAGGGCAGGCTCTGCTGCCGTCCCCTTCTTCTGCCCTCCCAGTCCCCGTGGGGCCAGCCCTGGAGTGCAACCTGCCAGGCCCACACTGACCTGCAGTACTGGGAACACAGTTTGTCCCCAGCCTGGTCCTGCTGAGCAGCACAGTGACAGCTAACTGCCATCCTCCCTGGGAGACTGAGCCTGTGGCCGCAGCCCTGCTGGGGAGGGAGCTGGGCCAAGCAGGGTCTGCCCGGCTGGGCAGGGCTGGACTCCTGCCGCCACCATGGCGAGCTCTTCCGGCCTGGGGAGGGTATGGTGGGGCAGAGAAACATGGGACTCGAGATGGAGGGCCCAGATTGCAACCCTGGCTCTGCGCCTGCATGCTGTGTAGCATTGGCAAGTCCCTTCTCTTGAAGCCTCAGTGTCCTTGTCTGTCAAGTGAGAGGGTTGGGCAGTAGGATCTCAGATGCCCCTCCACGTCCAGTGGATTTCTTGGCATCCCATTTCTAGGGCGTTTGCAGCACACTGGCATCGTGGGGAGCACCTGCCCTGGGCGCTGGGCCTTGCTTTGTCATCCTGCCAGAGCAGCCCTCACGCTAAGCAGTGCTGGGCGCCAGGGTTCATGGGGAAATGGGCTGGCCGTTCACTGTTCATCCATCCAGCATCAAGTGCCTGCTGTGTGTTGAGATGGGGGCTGCACCGGGCCTCCCGTGTGTGGGGAGGTGAGGCTCGGGGCCTCAGGCACTTAGAGCAGTGTGGGTGGGAGCAAGAAGAGGAGGAGCCTGGGGAGAGTGGTGAAGGCCTGGCGCCGTGGGCAAGGCAGGGCTGAGGGCAGGGCTGAGCCTGGGTCCCTCGCGCTTCATTCCACAGCCGCGCAGGCCCTGGGCTCCGGGACAGGCTGACGCGGGCTGGAGCGGGCCTCCCCTGCAGAGAGCCAGGGGCAGGTGGAAAGGCAGGAAGAGGCAGGCTCTGGCAGGGGAGCTGGGACACTCCAGCCAGCCTGGAGCCTTCCAGAATCGCCGCCTCTTCCTTACTCCTACCAGGGAAGACACACCACACGCGTCGCCTGCTGCACGTTGCCAGGCCTGGAGGGCGTCGCAGGGATTGCTCGCACCGCTGCCTGCCCTGCTTGACACTCGGCGAGTGGCATTGTTCTGCACAAAGCTGTTTGCCGCAGAGAAGGACGCAAGCCAGCCATCCCTGGGAGACGTGGCAGCCCATGAGGCAGGCGAGGCGGAAAGCCCCTTTGGGGCGGAAGCGGGCGAGACAGGAGCAGCCAGGCGGTGGCGTTTGCTCCCAGTCGGCCCTCCGACCCCCGGAAGCTCCCGTCTGCACCCTCGCATGTCATGTCCACAAACCACCCGCCACGCGGGCGCGCATTCTGCGCATTCTGTCACACACGCTAGAAGGCATCTGAGCTCACATGGCCACGCCCAGCCCAGTGTCCGCCGCGAAGGTTTGCTCATTGGTCCGTTTTGTAAGCGAGAACTCAGTCTATTTCCTGATTCATAAACTGGTGATAGTGCTGCCTCCTGCAGATTAGATGTCTAGAATGTGCTTGGAGTGCTTAACTCAGGGCCTGGCATGAGACGCTCTCTGCAGACATTAGCTATTTCTCTTATTGCCTCTCCCCCTCGAAAACGTGGGCTTTAGAGCCCCCATCCCACCCCCCAACACGGGGCGCCTGGAGCATCTCAGGTCTGGTTTGAAGTCAGGTCTCCCGGCAGACAGCAAGAACTCACTTGCTGGGACTGATCGGGCTTTGCGGGGAAGGTGGTAGCTCCAGGCCCCTCCTGTGGTCTGAGGAGGCCCCTCCCCATGCTGAGGAGGGACAGGCGGTAGCAGGCGGCTGTGGGCGCCAAGCACAGCCAAGCCTGGGGCATCCTCAGGCTGGAGGCTTCTCCCTATCAGCTCCGCAGGGCGGGATTTGGCTCTGCTCTCCTCCCCTCCTGAATCGCTCGCTGCCACCTTCGAAGCCCCGCAGGTGGGGGGCGCTCCTTCTGGCTGTGGGCAGTCTCTTTTCTGGCCTGGATGACTTTTCCGAGGTGACTCACAGGCACACGGAGGGCATTGGCACCTGCCGTTGCCATGCACATGCGTGGAGGGCAGCGTGGGGCCGGGCTGCCAGAGGAAAGTGTCCCTTCCCTCCACTGCATCTGCTCCACGCTTTGTCCAGTTCTAAGGCATATCAGAGTTTAGTGTTTGGGTCAGATTTTGTTATTTCATTGCCATGGAGATGTGTTGGCCAGAGTGTAACAGATTTATTCTTCTTAGGTGACATTTAGTAATGAAGACAGATTGTCAAACTCAGCAGCCTGGGAAGCTCTGACCTTTCATCACTAGGAAGAAACGATTTGGGAACATCCCACCCATGGTGCCATGTGTCATCTCAGAACAGGCTCCTTTCCCTGGAGAAAGACCAGGAGGAGGCACGGGCTGGGCCCAGGTGGCCCAGACAGGCCTGGCAGGCAGGGAGAGAAGACCAGGGTCACTTCCACTGCTTTGAATGCTTTACATTATGACCGCCTGCAAAATGGTGCCTTTGGGGGCCCTGGACTCTTCACCTCTCCAGTGGCCCCAACACACACACAGACATACAAAGGACTCCCCTGCGCAGTGAAGAGTCAGGAGAGTGTGGGACCCATTACTCCTGTGTCTGAGGACCTCGAGTCCCCAGGCATGGTGGCGCCCGTCCAGGGCTGAGTCTCCCTGTGGCTGCATCACTGTAGCGTAGACATTGGCTTTTATGAAATGAACACACCACACCCCACCCCGCCCGGTCACTCAGCCCCAGCTTGGGCCAGGTCTCTCTCCATCCCTGTATGATATGCAGTTGTGCCTGCAACTGGCCTCTTTTAGAAGGAGGACTTCTCACTCAGAGGGCCTCCCAGGGAGTCATCATCCCCTGGCGCTTTGAGGAGGGCCATTAGTGACTGAGTGGGCCGTGAGACATAGTAATGCTCACATACGTCAAGCATTTGCTGTGTGCCAGCAGGCACTGTCCCAAGAACCTTACATGCAAAACCTCGTTCCATCTGTGCAGCAGCCCTGTCGGGGAGGGCTATTAATCTGTACCATCAAAGGCACTGAGGAACAGAGAGGTTGGGTGGCTTGCCCACAGCCACAGAGCTAATCCATGGCAGAGGTCTGAAGCCCGGCAGAACAGCTCTGTCCCCTGTACCCTCAACGCCGCACCATCTGGCCTCTGCACTGTGGCCCAAGACAAGCGTGGGCTGAATGTGTTTACAGTGCTTGTCGGTGCCCTGTTGTGAGCCACGGTCTTGAAGACACCGTGGACGGTCAGCTAGTCCAGCCCTCTCATGTTGCCCAGGCAGAAATGGAGGCTCAGAGAGAAGAAATAACTTGTCTCTTGGCTACTGGCAGAGGACTTGAATGGAGTCAGGGACCACCCATTCTTGACTCTGCTTCATCTGCTGTGCTCTGAGCCTCTCCCTTGGGAAGCAA